ATTGCAGAATGGTAAGTTATTTTGTTGTTATTCAAAGAAATTTACTTTTTCCCCCTCAAAAAACTCAGGTGACCAGTGTTTTATCTACAAATTAAAGTAAGCTACAAATGCAAGAATGACCATGTTTGTTGGCAGTGACTATTACAGTCAGAGCATGAGTAGCCTTTGTGTTCAAGCTGACAGACTGGGAACTATTAAACGTATGAATTCTTCCCTGTACTGAGTCTCACGTCACTCCTAGTTAGCCAGGATGCAGTGACAGGAAAACTCACAGAGCCAACTGGCTACAAAGTTGTGCCCAAGCTAAGATGACACCCTAAAGCCAGGAATGCTGTTAAGTATTACTGAGGAACACCAGGTAAGCAGGTTTCTGCGAGCTGGCATCAGCCATGGCTCTCAAGCTCAGACACACCAAAGCTGACTGCATGCAGCCAGGCACGTGTACTGTACCTCCCTCCGCATCCCACAGAGTTTCCTCACACCCCGCGTCAGGTACACCACACATTCACCGGCCCAGCGCATGGGGGGTTAGTTCTACTCACATGATCTCATGCATCTCTATTCCTTTACTTTCATTCCATTTTCCTATTTCCTTTTCTATGCTGCTTTTTATTATCATTTTTTACCCAGTATAATTTTCCCATAGTATTAATGCACAAGCAATACTGCTTTTTGCTCAAAAGTCATTGCTGTTAGGTATTGAGAAAAACACTGAAAATACTTGAGAGGTTTGGTGTCCCTCCATCATTTCTGCACTAACTCAGAACCTGGGAAGTAACGCTATCAATCTTGTCAGCAGGTCAGCACATCTAACTGCCACTTATCTCATGCTTTTTAAACTTATCAAATATTAATGTTGAACTTACTGAGGTTTTCTACCTATAAAAAACCAAAACAGGTCAGAGTTTATAGTAGTAATTTTTGCATTCACTATTTCAAAATCTTTAACAAAACAAATAAGTTAGTGTTTGATTTAAATGGAATCAAGAAACAACTATAGTGTAAATACTGACTATAGTAATGCTCTTGCATAATACTGTTAATTGCGCCCATTTAATAATTTTGAAGCCCATCCTCTGTGGGGTTTTGCCTAATGTGGTCTATGGGCAGCTTTTGTCCATCTGTTCTTCCATTGCCCTTGTTGCAGTATTTTCTCCTTTTCTTCATCCTCAATATGAAACATCACTCCCCTGCTTTTCCCCTTATTTCCTTATTCCTACTTTTTCTGGGTCTTGCTCTCAATGTAAAATCATCTCTTGTCAGTGTAGGGTCCATCTATATTATCAGTTTCCTGCCACCTTATGCTCAGGTACCGTCAAACTATGCACCCTCTCCATTTTCAAACTAAGAAGTGTGATTTCACTTACCTTTCAATATGGAATGTATATTGCTTTGTCCCCTCCTCCAGTGTACATGTTAAAGGTTTTTCACTTTGACTGGTGCAATGTGAGAAAGATTCTCTTACCTCTTTCAAGAAACTAGCTAAATCCTGGGAGAGGCTTATGCCTGTATCTTCCACAAAGCTGAAGTATTTACTTTTACTTATATTCACTTTACACATAGACACAATGAAACAAGTTGACTTGGCTATTAAAGCGAAACTAAGAAATGGCATTTCTATTATAAACTGATCTTTTTAATAGTTTAGAATTAGGTTGGATTTCTGTTGTTTTCAGTGCAAATAATTCTTTCTGAAAAAGTTCCTTAGAAAATATCCTCTACTCCCTTTCCTTGACATGTGTATACATACAAGCATGGTCAGCATCACCAAAAAAGCCCACTTTTTTTCCTTCCAAAGTTGTGATACACAAATATGTGTGCAGATTAACAACTTTACACAACATGCATTGCTATGCTGAAAAGTATAAAAAATTCAAAATTGGAAATAGAAAGAAGGCATACCAAAAGTAGTTCAATCTAGCTCTTCACAGGTTTTGAAAAATACTTAATTATCAAAGCAAATTCTGACGGATGTTAATGTTACTGTGAATACAGTTATTGACTATGCTTCAGAGAGCTCTTTTTCTAGACAAATACAACAGTCCTTCCCAGTTCCAGAACAGGCCTGAGAAGAGAGGAAAAAAGAAGTTGTCGGATACTTCTTGTATGTTATACTACCCTGGAATCCTACCTAAGAAACCAGAGCTGACTCACATTTTCTTGGTATCCAAGAAAATAGAATATTTCTCCTTGATTCTCCCTATTAAAAACAAAGGCATATGCCCAAGTTTCTTTGTCATTACAAAACAGGGGATTTGTGGAATAAGTTGACTGAACAGAGCAGGCCAACATCCAGTGCTACTCAAGAAAGCTTCCTAGTGCAACTCCCAGCCCTGTCAGGAAAGGGAGTTTTATTAGCAGCTCTATTGAAGGCAACAGGTTTTTGTCTCTGGGAAGCTATAAGAGTATCAGCTGGCAAATTGCCCTTTCCCTCCAAACTGCTATGGAAATTCAGGTCATACGATCGGATGGGATCAACTGCAATAGCAGGCAACCTCTCAATATACAGCTAGTTCAGGAAGATCTACAGAACATCAGTTTGCCCCCACAATTACCTGTCCAAACATTGGAGAACCCTATATCAAGCTGAAGGCCTGTAGTACAGGATTAAAAAAGAATCAGACGAAATCAAGCATTACCAATTGCCCACCTTTTTACATGGGAACTTGTCCAATAAAACTTTAGAGGACAATAATCAGTGGGCCATACCTCACAATACAGAAAAGGGCTAAAAAAAAAAAAAAAAAAAAATCAGACCCAGCAGTCCTTTCCAATTTTCTGTTCTCTATGTCACCTTCCTTACATGTTTCTGATACTGGCAGTATGCTGTTCATTCAGCTGAGCAATGCATGATTCTCCAGCATCTCCTAATTTGGGCAAGGTGATTGCTCTGCACAAATACAGACACGGCCTCCACATCTCACAGCTTCACTGCCGTGGTTGGTAACATGAAAAAACTGCCTAACTTTAGAAAGATCACAAGGGCGTGGAGTTTCTCAGCTTACGTGGAATCTTCTTGAAAAGCCAAGCAAGTGGAAGGTTTTCCTCTGAGCAACTTGAGCAACATCCTAGTCACAGTATTTTTTTGATAGCTGAATTCTGGTCCTTAAATGCCTCCTCTATGAAGGATCTGAATTCCCTCCCAGCACTAAAAACATGTTTAGTCTTTGAATGAAGGGATGGACCTGTAGTCAGAACAGCACTTCCCCTCTTCCCCTGGAAATCTGGCAGATGTAGCAGCAGATTGTCCTAAGACATGGGGAAGAGAGAAATGACAAACCTACATTACTCTGCAGTCTTCCCTCCTTCAAGAGGCACAACTGCCTTCTAGATGGTATTTAGCTGGACCTTGCTTTGTTTAAAGAAAGTTTAAAAGAGAACAATAATAGGCATACTTCTTGATCCTAAGGCTCTGTCACATTTTAAAGGAAAGAAGAGGAAGAGAGGAACTCTTCTCCCTTGTTTAAGCTAGCTAAGACAAAGTCAATGGAGACAGCAGAGACAACAATAGTAGACATCGTACTGTGGGTCTTCTTTGGGTTGTAATTTTGGCAATTCCCAATCAACTTCAGGCTGCCTGTTTGGAAGGGTGAGATGCATCTTGTAAAACCTTTCACTTGAAGGTCACTAAAAAGATGCAGTCCATTACAAAAAGAATCATGCAGTTTTGCTGCAGCAGCTGATTTACCTCTTCAAAAGCACCAGTGCCACATTAATTGAAGACTCTTGTTGAGGGTATTATCCAGATTCAAGAATAGTGGACAGAGAGAAATAGCTATACCCTGGGACCAGACGCTTTTCCAAAACTGGGGCAGAGCAACATGACCTAGAACCTTGAAAAACAACAGATTTACTACAAGCGGGAGGAGCTCCTCTTTGTTTCTAAAATCTATGTAAATTAGAAAAGCTATAGTGCAACCACAAAGCTAATCAAGGGCTTTGGACTTAACAGCATTAGGGCATTCAATCAAATACTGAAATAGAATGAAAGACAGAAAATGCAGATTATTACAAAACTAACAGCAATTGTCAAACTTCAGAACACAAAAGCCATAGCAAGAAGTTAGGAAAATTGCAATAGAAACCTCAGTGAGAAGTTTTAAAGTTAAAAGCATTTAGTTTTGCACTTAGTGTGCCAGCATCCACTGTTTGCCACAGTATCCATACTTTTTGTTTTCATGTTAGAGAATGAAAGATGGTTGGAAATTTTAGACTGCCTTCTGAATATTTCTAGTTGAACTCACAAACATGTTTGTATTTAAGATTTAGATCCTACTGAAGCGTGATAGTTTCTTACATTGTACTCACTTTGTTATGAGTCTGTACAACTGAAAGAAATAACAGGTCAAGTAAAATATGCAATAATCCTTAAACCAGATGTTGATGTAAATTCCAGTGGAAAGAAAATATTTGTTTCAATGTATGCGCTTTCTTAGAGCTTATTTTTCTTATATTGTGCAACTACTGTATTTAAAAGCAGAGACTATTAAGAATGAATTTGTTTAAAAAACAGTAAGAAGTGGTTCTGTGAAACCCTGTCAAAGAACTTAATGTCCTGAGTTAGAAATTTGTGCTGCTTGATAGGACACGAAAAATCACCAACTATGCGGGGGAGAGAAAGGGAGACTATCCGACCTTTTATCTCACTCTCAATATGAATTTCACTGTATTAATGCAGTCCAAATTACATAAATTGTTGAGCCAGTTCTGTACTATTTCAACAGGAAAAGAACACTCTTCAACCTTTGAAATATTATATATCAAAACATTAATTGGGCTCAGTGCTTCAAAAACAAAGTCAGAGGGTTGGGAAAAATTGTTAGCTGCTTTTAAAGCTTTTAATTTCAGCTCTTACATTTATCTTCCTACTGATACAATGTGATCAAGAAGCTATTGTGCCCAGGAGAAATGCATCCTGTAGTCACAAGGCTGAAACAAACTGCTATATTATAAGGTTAGAGATCAGGAGTATGATTTCTATTCCAGGTTAACAAACTTACATGATTTTCTGTTGGAAATTTTCAGTGGCTGAATCTGCACTTCTGGTCTTCTTAGTGCAAATCTCCTATAAAATGGGAGGTGGTAGGGGAAAGACACAAATTCCTCAGTTTTCACTGCAAGTTTGGGATTAATAAACACTTAACATCATGAGACTATTGCAAAATATCCAGAAGATTTTATAAGAAATTAACTTAAAACAATGCAATCTATTCACAATCTAAAAAATTAAATCCTCAGCCTCAAATTTTTGTAAGCTCTCCAAAACCTGCTGCAGTTCTTACTCCTGCATAGTACATCAGTGTGAATAGATACTGATGTGCTATTTTCCATATGTTTTTTCTTTCAATCTGGATCAGTGTTATCCTATCAGTTTTTGTCATTATTAATTCTAGCCAGACAAATAAGGAAATCCAAAGTATTTCAGCAACAGGTTTCCAAGAACAGTTGTCTTGCTGCAAATGCAGGTTTATCATACCCATGTAATCTATGAGCATTACATATGACAACTACGCTAACTTAACAACTCGGCAAATAAGTGTCTTCTCTTACTACAAAAAATAAGGAAACTATGCTTCTCAGTAGCTCACCTCTCCTGGAAATGCTTTGAAGGGATCAAGCCTGCTCTGGGATTGGCATCACCTTCATGTTTGGCCTGCCACCAGGTTGCATCATCCTGGCTCATGATCTGAAGGATATCTCCTTTTCTGAAAGCAAGTCCAGCTTCTTTACAAGGAATTGCTTTATCCTCATTAGGATCATAGTCAAATAGGGCTCTGATAAACATCTGAAACAAACCGTGTTTTATCATTAGAACCAAAATATTAAATGTCATCCAAAGGTATCTCCCTTTTTTGCTTTTACTGTTCAAATCCATTGAACTAAATAATGTAAAGTAATAAAGATTTACTGCTGTAGAACATCCTTATGGACGTCTAACATTAGAATTTGATATGGGAATGTCAAATTTGTTGCTTCTGCAACCACAATCCCAATGTAGTAAAGACTCCATGATCCATGGCAAATAGGACTTTGCAGGTGAATAGTGTGCCCATATGAGAAGACACTTTTGAACCAAGGTGCTATCAAGTGTCTTCTACCCAGTGTACAATGGAAGAAAAGGAGTACTTGGAAGCAAGCCAGGCCCTTGCAGAAGACTGAATATTACCTATGTCAACTTCATGGCTGTAGACTTAGGGCTTAAGAGCCACGTTACACCCACTTATAAATCCAGCATGTGAGTATTGAAGTGTACAGTATGCTACATATTGTCACATTAGAAAAACTGAGTCTGGAAGCACAAACCACGTTCTTGGTTCTGTCATCCAAGCAAACAATATATATACTCAGCATAACAGTTACTGCAATAGCTTCTGAAATAGTCTTGCCTACCTTCCCTTCCTTCACTGGCATTTCTTCCTTCACGCTAGGTATAATTTTAAATGTAATTGCTCCTTGAGACTGAGCCTGGTGAACATTTGAAAAAAAAAAATGCACTGAGAATTAAGCTGTACATTTCAAAGAAAGCTTAAAAGGAAAAGAAATTCAAATTAATTTAAAAAATACTCAAATATGATGAATCTATCCTCTCCCAAGCATGATCGACGGACTTTGACAGCTTCACCATGCCAAACTTCACATTGCAAAGACTAAAATACCCACTTGAAATGCTCATTTTTATTTGCTTCACTGGTGGGCAGAGATGGACTGTTGAAAACTGGGACCTGCATGTTTCAGAGGTCCCACTTCTGCACTGAAAGCAGGAGCAAATGCTACAGCTAAAATGTATGCATATTAGAAGCAACTGCTGGACTCCTGGCACAGTTTGGACATCCCTGGAAAAATCCAACTAACATTTCATTTTTCAAAAAAAACCTGATAGAAAAATTCAAACAGGCTTGTGCCATATTTATCATATAAAACTATTGGGGGGATTTATTCTTTTGGCAACTTTAAGAAACTAGAAAAGAAAAACATTTTTGAATAGACTATGTGTACTAAATGGAAAAAAAGCCCTCCACTATAAATCTTAAAACAAGTTAGCCATCATCAACCACCTCATCCATTCATCTTTCGCTACATCCCACTTAAAGTGTGTCTGGCTGCATTTTACTTATTAAGTACAATATATTCCCACTGCCTCAGTGACATTTTGCTATTGAAGGAAGTGCTAATCAGCTGGAGCCTCTGCTACTATTGCATGCAGCCGACAAGTTTCATAAAACTAGCAGAGTGCAACAGACAGCCAACGATTTAAGCAAAATGGAAACAGGCCTGTCCACTACCAAGCGAGACATACTTCTGCCGGCATGTCTGCGATCCAAGAGCTCACTGTTTGACAAGCAGCAGCCAAGTTCTTATTTCACCAGCCGTAGGACTGGAATCAATAATTCTGTTACTTTTGAAACAAGTTCTAACTAGCTTTTGATGTTTATATTGCACCTTGAGGAGGTAAATGGGGAAATTGTTCACACCTTTTCTAGTGCTATTGTGTTTCTAAAGATTTTTAAATATTAATTTCTGCAGGAAAATATGTTTCTGTAGGGAACACAAAACCATAAAGCAAGTATGAATATCAGCAGGCTAACATTTGAAATGAATCATCATGGTTATTGAACTCAAACTGTGAGACAGCCACTCAATTCAGCAGGACAGCAAGGTAGTTATGTATATAGAAATGCCTACACCATGAACATAAAGACCTGTCATGACCCTCAGCAGTTTCTTTGCTGTAAAAATATTAAATATTTCTGAAAAAGTCTAAATTACTTAATTTGCAATAGTGCTCCATAAGTGAGTAATTAGGCTGGCTTTAGAGACTGTGTAGTTCAGAGGAGTGCAAACATAATCATATATATGGCCATATACTGCAAATCAATATAAATTATAATCTTAATTTAACAGTTACTTTATTTTATCACGTATATGTATTATGAATTAATTTTCACATGGAGTTAACACACTAGGAATGAATACATTTAAAATAGCTTGAATTCAACAGATCACACTGTGCCTTAAAAACTGTAGATTATTGAGGTCTGCAACATATTTATAGCCATATACCATCATTAACTCTTTACAAGTAATCTGTAATTGCATATATATGCAAAGCGTGCAAAATCATTCTTTAAGAGAAAGGAAATAGAGGTTTGTAAATGATGGCACTGGAAGAAAAGGCATTATTGTAGAATATACTTTTTTCTAAGAAATACACCAGAAATCGTAAGTCTAATTACTTTTTCTTGACCCCCCTACAATAATTTTAAAATGTTTGGTATTTACCAAAATATGTATTATTTCTTCAGGTTTTTTGTCATCCACGGGAATCCCATTGACTTCCCTCAGTTCATCACCCACGTGAATAAGACCTACAGAAGGCAAAGAGGAATTGTTAAACGGTAGCTACGTATTACACAAAAAATGCCATGAACATTCAGCTTTTTTCTCCCTTGTTCACCCCCCTTAAGGTCTAACTTAAAAGCAGGAATATATGGTGAATACCACAACAGCTACTGTCCTCACAGATAAATTTAAGATGGTTGGTTTACTCACCTCCCTTCCTTCCTCCTGAAAATTGGTACCATTTCTCTATGACTTTTCCAGACTTTTGCAGATGTTTGAAAAATATCTGTGCCAATTCTTTTTCTACTCATACTACTTTCTTATTGCTACACAGCTCCAAGTACTGCAAAGATCACTGAGGCTGTGAGCGCTAATTTGTGGCACAAATGCTTCCTAATTTAACAATATGTATCTAGATTTACTCCATTACCCCATCTAAGTGTGAAACACAGCTGTCCTAGATTCTCTTCAATGAAAAGAGGCCCTTTAAAGTGTAACTCAGGACCTCTTGCTTGAGTTCTTTCAGAGTTTGAGCATCCCAAACTAAACAATGGCAGTCAAGGATGTGCTGGTATTTTGAGAATTACCAGCTGAAACTCCAAATGGATGTACTAATATAAAATATTTCAGCCATCCTGAGTTCCTCCATCAGCAGGTTGTAATCTTGGCATATCCTATAATTTCTAAGTGGATGTCTTCAATTGGAAACAAACCACGATACATCTTAAAAAAAACCCTGCATCTGCTAACTCAACGATACCTGCTTGCAAGTGAATTGGAGGAAAAATTCAGCATGAATACTTCCATGAGTATTGAAATATCACTTTAGAAAGCTGTTCAAACCCCAAATACCTTTCTTTGTGATAGTGATGTCTTTCGTGTGTACAAAATGCTTCCATTTTATCTCATCTTTTTCTGAGTTATAGAAGTTGAATGGCTAGTGGAAAACAGCAACACCTTACCACTTCTATCTGCAGCTCCTCCACGCATTATCCTGGCCACCACAATTGCACCAGTATGTTCATCCCTTTTAATAGTAGCCCCCTTTAAAAAAAAACCAAAGTTGTTTGGTTAATCTTACCATAATTTTAATTTACTGCACTAAAAAAACATTTGCTATGTAAAACTGCAAAAAGTTGACATCGGACCAATGCATAAATAAGCCAGAAGTGATACTTGCTCATGAAAAGAATATATGAAATATGTTGCTCTATTACCATCCTATTAAAATCTCTTCCATTCAGAACTGACTCACGCAGTTCGGACAAATGATACAAGAAGTTTACTCTTTGACTTAAGGTTAACTGCAGCATACCTTACTTGACTCTGTTGCTAAAACTGTACTAAACTATTACTAATAATTGACAAATTGTTTCTCCTGCATTAAAACAGGCCACGTTACATACTATGGGTACAAGAAGTTTATCCGTGTTCATAATAGTTGCACTTTATGCTCAGAACTGCCCGTGTACCCACTAATCATAGTTTTGCTTTACAATGTTATCAATAAATAAACACAAATTTGAGAAATGCCCCTGCACGTCAGGGCTCACCTGGAATACCCGCGGGACAGAAATGCAGAGGAGGGAAACATTTCCTGAGTTAGTCATGACTGTTTTCATACATTACACAAACACAGTGCAAGGCATTTAGTTAAAATGACATCATGTAGTTAAATTTCCAGTGAACAGCTGTCTAGATGAGAAAAATGCCTTTGTAACTAGAACTGCGAGGGTGCGCTGAAAAGAGGCACAAGGTGATGGGGAAGCAGCAGGCAGCAGCGGTGACAAGCGAGGAGGGAAGGCAAGGGAAGCGGAGGCACGGAGCCGCCGCCTAAGCTGCGCTGCCAGTCCTTCCAGGCAGGCGGGGAGCAGTGAGGGGGGAAATGCTGGCCCTGTGCTGGAAGGCAGAATCCACAGAACGACGAGGGGGATTTTAGCTAGATAAGTCATACTGTATAATCACCTCCAAAAAGGTTATTTGAGCCAGTATTTTTAAAAAACAACACAAAAAAGCACCTCCCGGCCAACAGCTTTTTATCTGCACACGATTACTTCGCCATGTCAATGTAGTCAGTTACCTGCAATAGCTCTAACTTTGTTAATCAACAGAGAAGTTTAGGACTCCGGCAGTAAGTCAATTTTCTGAAAATTTCCATATTTTTGACTAGTGAATGAACAGTATTACTTCATCTCTGAGTAAAAGACAGTGGTTAGAATTTCTTTCCACCAGAAAAGTGTTGTGCTTGAAGAAAGGTACAGAAGTACATTATAAAGTTCCTTGAATAATGAAATTGCTTTTACAGCTAGCTTTCTGTATTTGTTTAGATTAAACATGAACATCATGTTTATCACTACTTCAATTTTTAAGCGTTTCATGGATGTGAAGCTGAAATATGTACAAGTAAATAATGGGGGTAACATTTTACTACTGTTAACAATTTCATTGACTGAAATAAACTTGTTTCCCTTTCCTTCTGCCTCTAAGATGGAAATACAGCACAAGACAAAAATGGGAGATTAATTTATATTTTACTACACACAAGCTGCATTTATTGCAAATAGAGAAAAATGAAAACAGTCACCACACGATATTCTCTATGGCTGAAACTTTACCAGTGGCCAGCACTCCACAGCAAAACTGATGTGCTGTACATCTTAAATTTATTAGTATGACATTCTATCCATAAGCAAAGTAATTCTGCAATTTGCCAGCCTTATTCTTATGTGTTGTTTATAATGTAATTATATCAGTAAACATTTGCTTGTATTACAGTTTCAAATGAGTCTGAGAATTTCAAAAAGATAAAGATTTAGCTGCAGCTAATCTCACTTTAAAAACTCATGATTAGACTTCTGTGCAAAAAGAATTGCATACCATTAGGAATATTAAAGAAAGCATTAACCCCTCTAGCCTATATCTCAATACTAAGTTTCGACCTTGCAGCAACAGCTATTAATTTGACCAATATTATCAGTATCTGGAAAGTTACATCTGTTTAAAAGTACAAAGCATCTTTTTGATGAATATATTCAGAAAAAAGCAAAGCAGCAGCATTAGGATGTTAGAGCCAAATATAAATACAGGACATTTCAGCTATATTGTCCATATAAAACAGAGGCTCACCTAATTAATCAGGGAAAAAGCCTTGAACGGAAAGGCTTTATGCCTTTTACCCTAGAAGTCAACACTATGAAATGCCACCAAATGCAAAAGGCAAGCAATGATGGACAGCCTTCCAACTGCGATCACCCAGCTGCGGCAGGCCCTAATGCTAATGCCTGAAAGCGGATACTTCACCTTGTTTTTAGACAAACCCTAGAAAAAGCTTGTGTGAGACTGAAGACCACAGTATTGACCCAGATGGCACCTGGAAGTAACGATAAGGCTCTTGTCCAAGTGGAACACTCACTTCATGCTTTATGCGATTATCACTACCAATGGGCTGGCACAAAATTAATTCCTAGTGCAGATTAGCTGATTTGAAAGATTCCCTCGTAAAGGTAACAGGGAGTTTGGAATTACCTGGAATTATCAGCAAAATTCACAGAGAAATTATTTAACCCAAGTTAGCTCACTGTAACTGTTTTATGGCAAACCCAAAGTGAATGAGCAGACCCATGAAAAGCACTATTTGAGTTTATGTGTTTTGCTGTACCTATAGTACACAAAGAAAAAAGGGGGTTCCTTAAATTCCCCTTCCCTCCCAATTTAGAATACTTAAAAAGAAATCATCAAACACAAGTGGATTTCTTTTTGAAGACCCGAAGAGTTGATTTTCTGAAAAAGCAGCTTCTCTTGTACTGCTGCCAGCCCTGCTTAAACTATGAGGTATATATAATCTGGCAAGAATTTCTCCTTATGAGATGTTCAGCTCCAGTACTTTCAGTTACATGTGCAGTGCAGCTCCTCATTTAGAGCTTTAAAAATGGAAGAAGGTTAGACTGGACCTTGAGAGCTGGAAAATATTTTCAGTGTTGCTAGCCAAAAGTGTAAGTTACCCTAAATGAGACATATACAGATGTAATAGCATAGCTCAGTTTAAAATACTTTTAAAGGGAAAAATAAGGAGTTTGGGAGCCATATGGTGATCAGACTGAGAAAATGTTTAAAGGTATACCATGCAAAAGCACTAAAAATAATACTAGCTCCTTCAGCAAGACTCTTTCACTGTTTTTTGGGTTGGGGTTTTTTTTTTTCAGTTTTAATGTAGTAACACTGATTGTTGAGCATCACTCAGGGTTTCACAGATGTGGGCTTTATTAGTTCATCCATTTATCTGCTGGTTCCAGAATATAAACATTATAAGCTTTTATTTTTAAAGAAAGAAAGACTAGTCTGTAAAATAAATTGCTAATAAGAGAGTTTGAAACATCAGTAATATTTTTGCATACCTTTCTGTTAAACAAAAGCACATGCAGATGTTGAATGCAAATTTTAATTCATCCTCTATTGAAAATGCAAATACAAATATCAGTTAACTATCTTACAGTGAAGAGTTACTTAAAAAGTTGATGCCCACATACATGTAGACTATGCACACTAAAGCTGTCCCTACACCCAAATTAATCCCACCTATAAAATAGTTGGGTTCATTCACTAACAAGAACTGAGCTACAGGGACCCAAAGTGAGAGGCAAGCAAGAGCTGTAGAATCTGCATGGGCAGAACATGTAAACAACTCTGTTAAATCACCACAATTCATTTCACCCAAGTTCAGCTATGGAAATCAGAGATCTAGTTCAAGCTAGGTGTCTAAGCTCCTCCTATAGTTAACGAAAAGAAACAGGCAGCTCCGAGGAATGAATCATGCTTTCATTAAGGCAGGCATCTTAAATAGATGGCATGGTTCATTCTCTGGAGCTGCCTATTTTTCTCTTGACTATAGACACAGCGTAGAGATTGGTTTTCAAATGGCTAAATTCATGTGAAATGAATCTGTGTGACGAAGAAGCAACCACCTTAACGTGAAGAAGCATCCTATTCAGAATAACTACATGACAGCTGTAACAAACCCGGAATATCATTTGGGAGCTGGAAGTAGGCAGAGGCCAGGAAGTGAACTCCTGGTAGCGTGGCTGTACATCTCAGATATCGGGAATGCTAACCAGGAACATGGCAGTGGCTGAAAAAGCCCTGGAGAGGTAGGCATAAGTAAAACCCCTCCAAGCTATCTGATAAAAAGCCTAATTATAGCCAGGTGAATTTTGGACTATCTCTGGAAAGAGATGTTTCTACTTCACTTTACATAAAGGTTCAGAGATGTTCTAAATTACTTTGTTCAGATAAAACCTCCTAACACAATTTCACCTCGCTTGAGTGAGACACTGCTAGAATGGCATTTGCTAGTAGAGCATTTAGGGGAAAAAAAAAAACCCAAAACCCAAAACCCGTGGAAGGATTAACAAAAAGTTTAAAGCATCTCTTCCAAAAAACTGGAGAGAAGTTCAGCGCTGACTTCTGAACTGATGAAATCTGGCAAACAGAAGGCCCTCCCACAAACCATGTGTTTCGCTCTCTTTTGAGATGATTACTCCTGGGAACTCGGGCTTCATTAATATGTGATTAACACCGGCTCAGAACACTGGTGAGGTGCTTAACTCAAAGAAAAGCACGAACAAGTACAAGAGGAAATGTGGTGCAGTTTTATATAAAACCAGCACTAGATATAGAATAGAATCATTTAGGTTGGAAAAGACCTTTAAGATCATTGAGTCCAACTGTATATTCCAAAGAAGTTAAGAGAGTGCCTGATTTTCTTCACAGAGAGTACCGCTGAAAGTCATCCAAAGGAGATATCCAATTCAAGAATTTCCAGGGTGTGCAGCTGATGTAACGCTTACTATTTTGCAGAAAAGCAGTCTCCACTGTTTGCATACAAACAGAGAATGAGAATGCATCTGAGGTAAAAGTTCAGAGAGCTCAGTATCTTCAAGTCAAGAAACCAGACAATCTCCATCCAGAAAAAATATTGTATGGTACCTCCAATCTCAAGTTCAGTAGCAAGAATCCTGACATAACTATGCAAGTGGAAGTCAGACTTTATGACTGGTGAATAGTGAATAGATAAACTGAATAAGAAGAGACTCTTGATTTGTATTCAGCTAAGAATAGCTAAGACTTTAAAACAAGCTCTGAAGGAAAAGCCATTAAAAAGACATGGAAATAAATAGAAAATGAAATTTTAAATAGCTTAGTAAACATAGATCATGGCATATCTCTTCTCTAGTAAAACAACTTCAGGAAGCATAGATGCAGTAGATCTAATATACCTAGCATAAACCTGTCTCTATTTATTCTGCCATGCCATATTCTGGTAAGACCTTATCTGAATTACTATTCATGTTTCTTCTCACTCCTACCTAAGAAAAAAAACATTAATCTGGGGAAGGCAAAGACACAAACAATAGGTTTGTTATGTATTGTGGTGGTGGTGTCATAAGAATAATTGACTATCAATCTGCCAAAAAGAATGTTTGACATTAACAGTAATAATATTGAAATGGATTAAAGGTGGGTTATGGAAGAGGAAGAGACCACTATATACCATTCTTCGAAGTCTTCCTGGAGAACAAGTAACATGCAAAACAGAACTCACCATAAACTCTTCTCCAACAAAAATAGATCATCAAGAAAGGCTGGGGATTTGGAGGGACCACAAATAGTCCTTTCCCCTACAGATAACCTACAATCTTTGAAATGCTGGTTGAAGGGCAGCTTTTCCAAGTCATTTATGCCATTCTCCTGCTCAGAGCAGGACACTGTCAATGACAGATCAGGTCAGCCATTACCTTATGGAACAGGCTGGAGATTCCACATCTCTGGCCAGTCTGCTCCAGTGTTGTACTTCCCACTGCATTAAATACTTTTCTTAATTCTCAGTCTAAATCTCCCAGGGCTGCAAGTTGTGGCCATTGCCCTGTGTTTTAGCATCTTCCCCTGCTGAGAAAAGTTTGACTCCACTGTCCTTGTGAGCTCCCTGCTCTCAAGTAGTTGTAGGCTGCAACTAGCTCCCACCCATTGCCTCTTCCTAGTAACAGGTCTATCACAGATTCCATTATAAGGCTATTTTTGCCTTGGTAATTACACTAAACAGTCTTGACAAACTGAAGACTGAGTTATCTCACTTTTCTTTTTTTTTTTATTTTCCATGGCTGCATTCTGTCTAGTAAAAAAAAGATCTAATGAAAAACCTTATTTGTTACCTCCTTAGCACAACAGTGGTACTAAGTTGGATGCACCTTTTAAAAGATTGTACTGGTTTTGGTGGGGATAGTTAATTTTCTTCATAGTAGCTTGTATGGTACTATGTTTTGGATTTGCGATGAAAACAGTGTTGATAATACAGGGATGTTTTCGTTACTGCTGAGCAGTCCTTACACAGAGTCAAGGCCTTTTCTGCTTCTCACACCACCCTGCCAGCGAGTAGACTGGGGGTGCAAAAGAAGCTGGAAGGGGATACAGTTGGGGACAGCTGACCCCAACTGATCAAAGGGATATCCCATGCTGTATGATGTCATACTTAGCAATAAAACCTGGGGGAAGAAGGAGAAGAGGGGGGATGTTTGGAGTTATGGCGTGTTGTCTTCCCAAGTCACCGTGATGAAGCATGATGGAGCCCTGCTGTCCTGGGGAATGCCTAAACACCTGCCCACCAATGGGAAGGAGTGGATGAATTCCTCATTTTCCTTTGCTTGCCTGTAGCTTTTGCTTTACGTATTAAACTGTCTTTATCTCAACCCATGAGTTTTCTCACTTTTATCTTTCTGATTCTCTCCCATATCCCACCGGGGAAAGTGAGCAAGCAGTTGGATGGGGCTGAGCAATTGAGGCAACAGACACACAGGTACCTGGAAGAGTTTAGTATCCCACTGGAGTGAATGGGCAAGAGGATAGCCTTTGGCTTGGGCAATTCTTTTTGTCCCTTTAAGAGGGCTTAAAATCTCAAAAGCCAATATACAGTGTATATATCTCATAAGTTATTAGAAAATCTCTCAGGTTTTTTTTTTTCAAAGTTGCTTTTTATCCAATTCACTTTGATACACTATTAACTTACAGTATTTAACTCACAAAAGGCTTAGTAGCAAATCATGTTTGAAACATGAAACTATGTAAATTAAGATTTTGAGATTTTTCTGAAATCAATTCAAGAAACAACAACAAGGGTGTTTTCATTAACACTAAAAATAAGCTGCTCAATTAGAACTCATCTCATACCATATGTTCAAATTTCTTCACACCTTTCAGAATTAATACTCTTTCTGATACTAAATCCTAAAGAAAGTTTGTTTTCTTCCTCAAAGAATTTCTTTGATTAAAAAAAAGGAAAGCTTAAAGCTATGATTTAAATATTTCGGGGGAAAAAATGTTTAATATGTTAAAACAAAGTAAAAACTTTCCATATGGTCAAAGTTTTAATTATGCCCTTGGGCACCTACAGGCAGTCAGTACCAAAACTTACTTCTTGTTTATTGATGCCAGAAATCCATCAAGAATAAGAGTGATAGAAGATATCTACTGTGGGACACGCTACCCCTGTACGTCTAACGGAGGCATTGCTCTCCCTCTGTCATCTCAAGTACAGAATCACGACTTTCTCAAAGTAACTTTGCAGACACTTCTTCAGGATTGCTATCCATTAAAACAAATACCCAGTACAACATAAAACAAAGCTTTTGCTGGTTTGCAGGAGAAAAAGAATATAGTTAAATTTTATACAAGATGACTCCCACTCTACAGCAAATAAAAATAACCAAATCAGTAAAGCATTTTAATATTCTTGTAATACAACCTAGGTTTAGTCCTTTCATTTTTCCAGATATCCCCATGAAGATATTAACTTTCTAGTATTCATAATCCAAAGTACAACAACAGACATCTTAAATTTGCCCAGATTTCAATTCAAGCATTTTAAAATATGTTTTTATGCTTTCTTTTCAGTGTATTGAAAGGTCACATTTTTTTACATGAATGCTAACAAGCACAGTTCACAACAAAGGTCAAGATTTCTTTGGGGATTCATTCTCCCTCTCTCATTTTAAAACAAGTTCATGATTTGAATTCAAGATAAAAGATGAATATATTATCGATCTAAGTGCTCAGACTGGCCCACATATATAATGCTCAAATACCATGAATGAACAAATTCTTGTTATTCATTACATGTGCTTTACTAATAATGACTGCAAATGGAAGTCACAAGTGTATTATTGAATGTTATGAATAAACATGCATAACGTCCGTCTATCCACATTTCAAGTTAATGTCACCCATTCATATTCATAGTCTGAACACTCCCCACCCTGCACACAAACATAAAAACCCAAAACAAAAGACAGGGTTACTTACCAATGGCTCCCTGTTTTTGACGAGCCTGATTATTTTAACTGAATCTTCTTCCTCATCAATATCATCAGGCATGGGGGGCAAGACAGGATCGTAGTTCTTCTGAGCAACAGTATCATGAACAGAGAGCAAAGCCTGGAAACATTAATAGTCAGTATATTATTTGGCATCTGAAAAGTTTATGAAAGACAAAGCAGAGCATATTAGTTATAGCATAACTCTACTAGCATGATTTATGTAGACTGCATATAATTCTTGTATACAACTTTAACACATGCCAAACTGATGAAAGAACTCCATAAATTATATGTTTTCATATACACAATGTATGCATCCAGTAAATTGTGGATACAGAAGAGTGTCTTCATACACATGAAAATATTGAGTGCTTTGCACATTAGCTTGAAATTACAAGAATTATGATCAGGAGAAAACCCAGGTCTCCTGAAGTAAGAACATCATTCTACTTGTCCTAGATAAAAAGTTTCTTTGATACAGTAAGCAGTCCTATGAAAAAAAGAAGCAAAATAAACATCTTCCGGTACTTCTGTTCAAGCATGAGATGCATGACATTAAGTTGTTGTCAACCATTCCCTTCACAGGGGCTCTGGAAGCTTACCTGGTTACTGGATGCCTTTCATACTAGCTCCCTTCCATACGAGCTCCAAATTATCTTAGGAATTTTTATTTTATTGCAGAATTCATGATTGAGATTGGGGAACATATTGCTGAAACAATTTGGTTCAGGCAGGTGCTTATCAACTACCCGTCGCATGTCTTGCCTCCTTTCTTTTTCTGTTGCATCTGCAGCTCGTGCATAGCTTGAACAATAGATTTTTCAAAGAAAAGGCTAACAAAGCCTGACAAAAGGTTCAATCTTAAAAAGAAAATAATTTATGAACTTGCAGAAATTAAAAAAACCTTGGGAGTCAAAGGAAGCTAGAAAGACCATTCCCCTAAGGCTCTAAAAAATCTCAGCTATAATCTAAATTTCACAGCTTTTTCTAGATACAGAACTCTTAAAGTTCTTTCCTATCTTGAAAAGTCTTCATTATTTGTAATACCTTTTAAACTGGTGAAAAATGGTTAGGTAATGCTTTTAGTTTTGTAGTGAAAACTATGGCTTATAGCAGGAATAACAGCAACAGCCATACATACAATTCTATCTACTGCTTTCAGTTGCTTCTGTTTTCAAGTAGTTGCTCCTAAACACTTGAATATTTTACATTTTGACATGATATTTTTTCCCAAAGAGTCAGTATTACAGAAGTTCTAGTCTGAACAGCAGAAGTAATTTGCAAATTGATAACCTTCCTGACAATAAAAATAAAGCATTTTCGAAAATCTTGAGATGTTTAGGATAAAGCAGAACACATCAACATTGTTGAACATGGGTGATATCAGAAGGTATCATATCAATGACTGTAATAATTAATCTATTATAACAATTACAATAATGATTAATATTTGCTACTTAATAAAAGGCAGATAATATTAGACTGAGTACACAAATGACCAGAAACTGTATGTTCTCGAGGATAATGCAAATATTTTAAAAAAGCATGACACTTCCATTATGCTATTCCAGGATTTTTTTCCTGAATGGAGGACACTGTAACAACAGAAAACAATTTCCAGGCAATGCTACAAGCTACCATGTCAAAAGCTGAAGGCAAAAAGTGTATGGTAATCTTGAAATTCTGAAGTCTAAATCTGAAGTCAGGTCTTCAACAAAATGAACACAGAGGAAGATCATGCCTGCTTCATGACAATTTGCCGTTGTTTTACTAATTTCTATGCGTATTGTACAAATTGATAAAAACCATTTCAACACACTCTAACTACTTATTTCTGGTTTTCTTCCCAAGACACAGTTATGAATTTGTACTATTTACCATCAGAAATTACCAGCTCCCTCCCACCAAAGATTAGTTTTACTTTAGATCTGAGCTAAAAACCTCAGGCTAGCAATTACGGTTACTCCTGGAAATGTGTATTATGAAGCAGTACATGTGTAAAAGCCATGCAATCACATGCAGTCCTCTAAAGATGTATGTGAAATATCAAAGATATACTAAAACAAAAGTAGTGTTTGCTTTTACTTCAGGCTACTTACAGTTAAGACTTCTAAAACTAGTCTTCTGCAGTTACGTTTTTCCACATAAAGCTAGGGCACATTCATGGACTGGTTCAATTTAATGAGGTTCTATATTGCAGTTTAAAAACAATCAGGCAGATAGAGAAAACAGATGAAAATAATCTAAAGCACCACTTCCAGAGTAAAAGGTAGCAACTTAAAACATGTTCAAAAGAACCTACCCTTGACAAGGAAACTTGCAAACCAGATTCTGTTCACTACTATAGTGAATTATGCCACCAGTGTTAATAAGATACTTCCCTGCTCTGACTGCCAGATCAGGCTCTGGGACACTGCGTGCAGAAGAACGATGCAGCCCAAGTATTATAAGCCAATGCCAATCAATGTCTGGTATTTGTGATGCTTTTCTTCACTCGCAACAACTGGAACTTATCAACCCCTTCCCTCCTCCTCCCAAAAAACATATTAAACCACAATGTACTACACTTTTCAATATAAGATCTTTTACCCAAACTCTGGTGTTATTTTATCTTGGTGCAAAGACGCATAGTTTAGGTAAGACTATGAATGGCAGAAATGATGAGTGTCTTTTCTCAGTCAAGTTTCCAGAACAGCTTCTGTCATCACAAACTTGTTTATGCCGTACACTGAACATACCAAGATATCTCTCCTGCTTGTCTTCCATCATTGCTGCTTCTAACACACTACTCTCTGTCCACTGTAGCTGCTCTTGAGATAGTCAGCAGCATAGACATTGGGCAATAATTAATCTGCAAGCAAAACTTACAAAGTTATTTTGATTTCACTTAATGTATTCAACTAGATGTGATCAGAACCTGTCCTCGAGAGAACTGCCATGTCCTGAACACCCAAAAAAATGACCATATACACAGAGTAAAGGGACATTTTTTCAGCAGTTTCTTTGTACTGTGCATTTAATATAATATATGCTTAGTCCAAAAAAATATCTATCAGACTAGACTTTTAAAGAAAAGCTTGGGACTTTTTTTAAAAACAAATTACAAGTGCCAAGAAATAAAACTCGGAACCTATCATGAACATTTGCACAGAATAATTATGCAGTAAATGCACAAGGCAATATAAAGGTAATAATGTTCTCTTTTTGTACATAAGAAGCAATTGATTTATTCACTGCAGTTTTATACTCCACGATACTAATTTTTGCCTATCACAAGAAACTGCAAAAAGTGCAGAGGACATTTTAATTTTTTTTTAATGTTTTGTTTTTGTTTTCAAATACACAACTTTTTGGAACTATGCATGTATGATCCAAGATTAGGGTCATGTATATTTAAGCACCTCTGGAGAAAAAGATTTTATTTCAGTTCTAAGTTCTATGCTTATGATTCACTAATGTAAACATGGTCCATATTTAGAACTTGAAAGAAGGTATGATTGAAACTACTGCACTACCTAAACATAAATATTGATGTTCAGCTAAATTCTTAGACATGATCTAGCTGGAAATGAATACTTTCATCAGACCTCTGAAATGTCTAATAACTAGTGCTGTATTTTTCATATTAAAGCTATCACTGATCATGTCACAGTTTATAAATTGAAATTTTACACTATCAACTTACACAAAGAAAATCTGACAGTGGAAACATTCAAAGTTCTTTTTCTTAAACTGTTCTGAAACTTTAAATGTTTATTTAAATTGAGAATGTTATTAATGAAAACAGTTCTGTATTTTGAAAAATGTGTATCATTTAACTATACTGACTACATTTTTGCTCCTCTAAAACAATGACAAATTTTGTATTATTTTTTGCTTCTGTTTATATTTTGAGATCTGTAAGAGTAAAAATATTCCAAGTAGGCCCTGACTTGTGAACACACTCCTTATGTTTTTAAATTCTCATTATTTAAAAAAAAAACCAAACCAAACCCTGAAAATTCAATTTAAGCTTTACTTTTCAGAAATATTTTGCATTTACTAGTCTAGAAAAACATGTTAGAAAACAGTAAGTTAAGAAGCAAGACAGAATGGACAAAGAAACAAAAGCAGCCTTCTTCTATATGCTACTTGAAAAGACCAAGATTAGAAAATCAAATAATTAATAGCCAAGATTATCGACATAAACTTTGTAGGGACTCAGCCCAAGCTTTACAAAAGCCAACAGCTGCAGCAGACTGTGCCCTGCCAGCACAGCTGCTGGTTACCTTGCCTATGGAGTAGATTACCGCCCTGGCAGCAGAGTCAGCAAAATGGAACAGAATGGCCCGTGACTTTGCTGTCCCAGTCCACGGCTTGCATCATTAGCACTGGCCACCTTCTCTGGCAGTTCAAGTTGAACTCTCTCAGGCGAGACAGAGACATTTTCCCACCTCTTTGCTTTGCTATCATGACAGTAACTTCCACGGCGGCTGGCACAGAGCAGTTACACAGGAGGAGAAAAGTAACTTCATCAGCAACCACAGTAACATGCCCCTGAACTCGCCTGGCAGAGCTTGTCCTCCAGAGAGCTCTAGCCATATTGCCTTTTTACTGTGTGATAGGGTTACAGAACAAAAACAAAAGGACAAGCTAAAAATGTTGGTGGAGAAAATTATTCAACTGGAAGGACTGATTTATGAGTAACTTGCATAAAGTTAAAATCAAGTGAGTGAAATCATCCAGCAACAGATATCGAAGAAGGAAAGCTGAAAGAGCTGGGAGGAGACTGAACCCACTGAAGGAAAGACCGGAGAAAAAAATGGAAGAAGCAGCACAAGAGACGTAACAGCCAAACACGTGCAAGAACTTAGAAAGCAGGAGAATAAAACCAGCAGAAAGCTGTAGCGTAATGGTGATGGCATACAGGCTCTAGGCACAGAAAAGCAATTTGACTTGAGAACAGTTTGGAGAAGAAAAGAATAAAAATACAATTTATTCAGAATCAAGCTATAGATTTTAGAACAACTGGTAAGCAGCACAAAATTAACAGCGGAAAAGGGAGGTAAGAATTTAGATAAGGGCGAGGGAGAGAGAACAAACTTTCTTCTTCTACAGGAGAATTACTCTTTAAACCTG